CTACAGAATGGGAGAAAATATTCACGAACTATACATCCAACAAAGGACTAACATCCAAATCTACAAATATCTCAAACAAAACAATGAGGGTTAAAAAATCCCATCAAATAATGAGCAAAAGACATGAACAGACTCTTCTCAATAGAAGATAGACAAATGGCCAAGAAACATATGAAAAAATGCTCAATATCACTAATTTAATTTGTAATTCAAATGAATTACAAATTAAAACCATGTATGTGTATACACACACATACACATACACACACATATACACACACACCATGGAGTACTATTCAGCCATAAAAAAGGAATGAAATAATGCTTTTCTGTTTGTTTTGACAAAACATAAAGGGATTTGATAAACTCTTTATGGAGCAGTTAGCTCAAGAAATATACATGATAAATAAAAAATTAAGCAATGAATTTTATTTTCTCTAGAAAGCTAATCATAAATATGTAACTGACACAAGATGGTTTTCGACATTTGCCATCCTCTGGGATGGCCATTTAAGCACATAAAACGTGAAGGCAAAAATATGCTGCAGAAGTATCAGAATCTTTTACATTTAAGATTTAACAGGTAACTGCAGAAGATATTTTTGTGTCACTCTGTGAAATGACTTTTCAATTAGATCAAACAAGATTTTTAAAATTATTTTGTCCATTTCTCATTCTAAATTTTTTATTTCATAAAAAGTAAAGTGATAGCTATTAAATGTTAGCTCATTAGCATAACAAGAATTTGCAAATGGTTAAATATTTCCAATTTTATAGCAATTCCATTAGTCGTCTTGAATTTTAAAAAAACAGTTAATTCCAATAGTGTTTGATTTTTTTTAAATCTAATTCATAGATTGAAACTAAAGCTTCTGGATCTTCTGTCAAAGTGAAACATCTGACATTATTGTGAATATGCACATAACATCAGTTTAAAAATTCAATTTTAAAGATTAAATAATTTGTGTTGTAATGGTAATATAAATTTTGATAGAGTACAATAACAAGATTAAAAAAAGGCCGGGCGCCTCACGCCTGTAATCCTAGCTCTTGGGAGGCTGAGGCGGGTGGATTGCTCAAGGTCAGGAGTTCAAAACCAGCCTGAGCAAGAGCGAGACCCCGTCTCTACTATAAATAGAAAGAAATTAATTGGCCAACTGATATATATATAAAAAATTAGCCGGGCATGGTGGCGCATGCCTGTAGTCCCAGCTACTCGGGAGGCTGAGGCAGAAGGATCACTCGAGCCCAGGAGTTTGAGGTTGCTGTGAGCTAGGCTGACCCCACGGCACTCACTCTAGCCTGGACAACAAACCGAGACTCTGTCTCAAAAAAAAAAAAAAAAAAAAAAAGTGATTTTGCTAAAATAAGAAAGCTTGATGGCGGGCACACTTTGGTCTACGTCACATCTCCAAGTTTAGAATGGGTTTTCAATGTGTATGTCTCACCATAGGAATGGAAGGGAGTACTCTGATTTGGACTATTTGGGGGTACATGTGAGTTTTATTATCAGAGTAGGAACTGTTACATGTTAATGTATCTTTTATATAGTTTTTAAGACTGAATTTTTGTGCTGCTTTTATCCATCCTTTATCCACAGAAAATATAAAAGCAAATTTCCAATTTAAAAAAAAAAGAAAGCTTGGAGTAATGTAGTTGGAATTGATTGTACTGTACATAATATATATTTGTGTCCAAACAAGCTGTTATATTCTGCCAAATGAAATAGAAACTTTAGTTGTCAAAATATGCAAAAAAGTATATAGAAAAACATTAAATATGGTAAACTAAAAGAATTATTGTGAAAAGCTATTGTTAATTTTTTAAAATATATATGCTTTAGCATGACAACATTTGTTTTCCTTCTTTGCTGCTCAATTGGATTTTTTCCAGGCAAATGTTGTTCAGCTATTTATTTTAATTTTTTGTGGGGGACTATCCATCATCTCAAACACATATCTCTGCTTTTTGCCGGGAACACTACAATTCTCTCCTAGCTATTTTGAAATACACATTATTATTAACTATAATTTCCCTATTGTACTATCAAATACTAAACCTTATTCTTTCTACCTAACTGTATTTCTAAACCCATTAACCAACTTCTCTTCATCTTCCCTTTCTCTTTCCTTCTTCTCAGGCTCTGGTAACCACCATTCAATTCTCTACTTCCATGAAATGTACTTTTAGTTCCCACATATGAGTGAGAACATGCAATATTTGTGTTTCTGTGCCTGGATTATTTTGAGGAATGTTTGAGTCTTTAAGCAACTACTCTGTTTATCTTTATGATTCAATCTTTGTTCTATAATGGTAATAACCTTCTTATTTCAAAATTTTTACAGGGATACAAAGATTTTGGTTACATTTATTGCATTTGCACGTGCCCCTACCAGACCATGCATATCACACCTATTGGATGTGAATTTACCCATCCCCTCCTCCGCCTCTCACCTGCCCGATCCCCAGTAAAAGTTACTTCCATATGTGCATATAAATATTGATTAATTACTACCAATTTGATGGTGAGTACATGTGGTGCTTGTTTATTCATTCTTATGATACTTCACTTAGAAGAATGGGCTCTAAATAAATAAATAAATAAAAAAGAAGAAGAATGGGCTCCACCTTCATCCAGGATAACACAAGAGGTGCTAGATCACCATATAATGGTAATAAACTTTTATAAGTAAGTTCTTTAAATTTTGGTGGCATTTTATTCAATAGGGTTGAAATTTTTAATAAAATTCATCAGTTAATACAGGATCAAAAATCATAAGTCCTTGAAGCTTTTAGTAAATTGCAATTTTTGAAAACAAAGCTTACAAATAGAAAAGGAAATATATGTATCCCAGCTAAAGCTAAATCTATCAAAATATAATTCAAAAATAAATAAATGTAGTTGGGAAAACCAGATGTCCATATGCAGAAGAATGAAACTAGATCCCATCTCTCACCATATAAAAAATGGACTCAAAATAAAATAAAGACTTACATGTAAGACATGAAACTGTGCAACTATCAAAAGAAAACATTGATGAAATGCTACAGAACACACAACTGGGCAAAGATTTTTTGGGTAAGACCTCAAAAGCACTGACAACAAAAGCAAAAATAGACAAATGGGGTCAATCAAGCTAAAAAGCTTAAAAAAACTAAAAATAAAAAACCATGTTGAAAAAATACAAATACATGCCAGTATCACTGTAATAAAAACAGACTAAGAGTGTTTTTACTGTACATAAATACATACCAAAAAATATTATTCCACTTACAGTTATTTTTTAATGGTCAAATAACCAAGTAGTTTATTTTTGGGGTTTTTTTTAGCTTTAATTTATATGAAGATATTTATTTTAATTGTTTTAAAGATTTTTACTTTTAAACATAGTTTTAGAATAGAATTATTTTATAGTTTGAGACCAGAAAAGGAAAATAGAAAGCACAGCAGAAAGACAAATATCATGTTCTCACTTTATATTACAATAAAATGTAATAAAATCAGAGATCTTACCCAGTATAAAAAACTTTACTCATTTCAAAAGATAATGTAATCTTGATATACAGACAAAGCCTGAAGAAGTCTGAAAGTAACAACATAACTCCTTGATTCTTCCTTTACACATTAGGGTGTGATCTGGTCCAGGTCTAATACATGCAATAGTTAAGTGATGTGTGGGAGCCATTACTTACAGAAACGTAGCTATTTTGATCATAAAACAACTCCATTTAATATTCTGATAATTACATAACTGACTTTGACATTTTCCAGCAGGACATATTCCAGAAATCTTTTAATTCTATACTTGTTTACCATAAGCAACCTAGACAGATCAGATATGTTCTGAAAGCATTCCATAGATATGGATTCTCAGTTATCTCTTTCCTTTAATAAATACCTAGTGTCTGATATGCATGTTTGTTCTCTCTCTCTCTCTCTCTCCCCCACCCTTTGACTTCCTTTCTCAGTCACAGATCAGCTTCTAACCTTTTCCTCCACGTAGATATTAGAATTTTAAAGTCCCCATACCAATATAATAAAACCAATACACAAATATTTCTAAACATATCATTTTAATTATTTTGAACATCACTTTTCATTCTCAAAACTGTCTGAATTTGGATTGGGTAATAAATCACATGATCAGCCTAGCTATCACACACAAAGTTGTGGCTTCTGACCATCCAGATTTTATTTTACCAAGTTTGTATGAATGACATCATTTCTTTTCTCCTATGTAATATATCTGCAATTAAGACAAACACTCAAAGTTGTAGGTAGTGCCTGGACCCTGGTATTGCTGTCAGTCTCCCATTGATGTGATTAACCAAGAATATAAATTACTTTGCTTTTCTGCTCATACATGCTGTTCTGTAAGACGAACAAGCCTAACAATTTCTAAAATAAGTAGATTATATTTCAAAGGCTTTACAATTTAAAGTAAGCTTTTAAAAAAATCCTGCTTGAGCAGAAATATTTTTCAAGTCTACCAAGAACACAACTACACTGCATTATCCCAGCCATGTAGCAAAAACACACAAAAATACATCTCAATTAACAGAGTTTCAGAATTGTTTTGCTGCATAATTCTGAGCTCTCCTCCTTGCTTTTGACAATAATTAATCTCATAACCTCAATTATTTATTCATTGTTTAATGGATAAAATAGCACTATATATGTTTACGGCATCATTCTAATATAGTATATTCCTTTTCCCAAAATATTAAAATATACATTAAAACATAACACAAATTCAAAAAAACTACAAGACCATTTCACCATAGTACCCAACAACATTAACTAAAAGGCTTTTATGACGGAGAAGGGACTGGCCCACAATATTTCAAAGGTGAAAGTTTATCTTTGGCATTTCCCACTTCTCTTTCTTCATTCCTGTCCTACCTTCTGTGTCTCCTCTTCCCCAGTATCAAGTATTCAGTGCCCTCATTCTGTCTATGCCAATAGTGACCCCATTTCAGTGTTCTCTGCTCAGGCTTACCTTATACTGAAAAATCGCAGACACTGTATTACTTCCCTCTTTTCTTTCTTGACCCCCATCAAAATGTCCATAACTAGAGGAAAGCAATTTAATTAAACTAAGACACTGGACTCTGAATAATTGATTAATAGACTACTTAACCCTCCTTGGGATATTTTTCTTTTAAAAGAGGACACTGTAATCTAAGTGAATCTGTAAGAGGCAGAATTTCAAATAATTCAAAACAGTAAAGAGAAATATGTTGGCTTCATTCGGGGAGATATGTTTTGATAGAAGGGCCTTCTGAGGGTCCCTTAAATTATTCCTGTTGGTGGCCACATACTCAGCTTCCTTTCCTAACTAGGAGAATAAAGCATTGACTGAACTGCCCTTTTCCAGTTTTATAAGTGAGCAACAAAGTACTCTCAAAGGAAGGCATTTGACTTTGAAACAGACTTCAGAAGTCAAAGTATGGTTTATTACTCCTCTGGGTGAACTGAGAAATATAAATGCTTCTTTTAACTCACAGCCAAATTCCCAAGAGCCATCCTTAAACATCAAATATCACTATGACAAAGGGCAAATCCTTTGTCATGTGGAAGTGACCCTACAGATACCCTTTTTAGATTAGTTACATGCTTTTTTAAAACTTTTAATTGGAGGATGGGAATGAGCACCAGAAATATATGATATAACCCCACATTACAAAAATGCAAATGAGAATATAATGGAAAAGGAGCCTCTATAAGCTTCATACTAAAGTTGATTGTTCCATCTCAGCCATGCTATCTTCAAGATCATACATGTGTGTGTACACATGCACACATACATCTCAAATGAAAGCAAAAATCCCATTTCCTCAAACAGTATTTACAGAGTATCCTCTAAAATTTTAGCTATATATTATCTAAATGTTTGGAATAACGTTCATAATTAAAATGCTAATATATCATTATTGTTTATAAAATAAGCTAGAAGTAATTACAACTACCTTTTTGTTTTGATTGACAGTGTATTTTTTTTCTGCTTTATCCCAGGTATAAAATGCAAAAAGGAACAGTTTACTCTTTGCCTACAGTTTGACTGACTAAACTAAAACTGATCGTCTACTCTAATTATATATTTTGCCCCCCAAGCACACACACATACACATACCCAGGTGACAATGCAGGCCTCTCTGGTCATGATAAAAGCCTCTAGCATTTTACTCTGTTTTAATAGTTGTAAAAATCAACATTTTAACCCTAGTTTTTCAGTCAACTACATTAACATCTCACAGTTTTGATCATCTTTTTGCACAAATGTCCAACTATACTTAGCCTTTGATAAACATTTTCACTGCATTAAAATATATACCTAGCCCTTGGTGAATTTTTTCATTGCATTGAAGTATAACATTTTATCTTAATTTTCAAAATTCACTTGGGGGGGGGCGCTGGTAAAGAGTTACTATACAAGAAAGGTATCTTAGTCATGGTATCTATACTCTAACCAAAAATAAATTCCATTGTGTTTTCTTTTAGCTCAAAAAATAAATGCCTCTTCTCAGCTAACTAAACTTCTACACTAGACCCTAGTGCACTATTAGCTTAAGATATGTCATCTGGAAGAGGCTGACAGTTTCCCATTCAAAGGTACCTACTGAATAGGGTGTTTCAGGGTAATATAGCATATTGAACAAATACACCAATTTGGATTTTTTTTTCTTTTTGTTTTTTTGGTTTTTTTGAGACAGTCTCTCTTTGTTGCCCAGGCTAGAGTGAGTGCCATGGCGTCAGCCTAGCTCACAGCAACCTCAAATTCCTGGGCTCAAGTGATCCTACTGCCTCAGCCTCCCAAGTAGCTAGGACTACAGGCATGCGCCACCATGCCCGGCTAATTTTTTCTATATAAATTAGTTGGCCAATTAATTTCTTTCTATTTATAGTAGAGACGGGGTCTCGCTCTTGCTCAGGCTTGTCTCGAACTCCTGACCTCGAGCAATCTGCCTGCCTCAGCCTCCCAGAGTGCTAGGATTACAGGCATGAGCCACCACCCCCGGCCTGGATTTTTTTAAAAAAAGAAATGAATCCACAAGAATGGGAAGAATAGGAGAGGAGACAGTGGCAACTAAATTTGGAAAGCTGAAAAGCAGATAGAGAAGTAGTAATTGAATTACCAGACCCAAGAAAGCTCAACCTTAAGTAGACAGTCAAAAAAAAAACCCCAAGAACTAACTAGTTACACAACAGAGTCCCCCAAATGCTCAGCAACTGGAAGTACCAATTTTTCTAGAACTAGTAATTAAAGATGTATAGGTAGACAGAAACCTAAAATAAGGAGGGTTAGATAAAAGCTATTTGAGAAGTGGTTAAATACCTAGATGTTTTCCCCAACTTCACTTTACTTAAATCACTAGAACCCTGTTTAAGTCCAAGAATATTTATATTGAGCTGGAACAAACTGATTCATCTCCCAATAAGTAATACCTTTAAAGAATTCTTTCATTGCTTAGTCTTCAATAATATCCTTCTCTCATGGATATCAGCAGGTACCAAAATTATTATTCCAAAGTCTTTAGTACAGACTGCCTCTTGGATTTTCTCACAACCTGATAAAGTACAAAACCTGCTCTGACCCATTTAGAATCCCAAAGCTTCATTACAAACCTCCTAAGAATTGGAATCTGCAATTCATTAGGAACATGCTGAGATCCAGGGCTTCATGAAGGAATTGCCTGAATGGTAGGTAGCAGTTGAAAAGAATCTTGAATTCCTTTACATTTCTAAAAATAAACAGGAGACTCTCTTGATAAACTTAAGATACAGAAAATCAAAAGGAACCTAGATCCTGGGCTCTTTAATACTTATCAGAATAAAACCTTTTGCATGCTATCCAAACTTCTCAAATAAAGAAAATTATGTTTTAAAATTGCAAGACATTTCAAGAGGAAATATTGAAGTATAAATTTTCCATCAGATACTGGTCAAGTAATTTCACTCCAAATGATAATTTATGTTGATAGTTCCATATTAAAAACCATGTTGGAAGCCTAAAACTTCCTCTCCTTGAAAACATATAATTAGTCATGCTATATTGGAAACAGCTCTAGAAAATGATCTCTTACCACCAGAATTGTTTTCACAGTCTGTTCTGAAAGAACAACCCAGTCTTTATCAAGCTAATTATCTTAATTAAGTCTATAGGGTAATTAATTCAAGATGGACAAGGTTGTATCTTTATACTTAATCATTCCAAAAGAATAGTCTGATAATATTTTTAGTATGTTTTTAGAACTCCATGAGAGCTTTTTTCCTAACAAATGACAAATATCAACCAAGTATCCAGAATAGTTTATTCCAAAATCACTATTTACCTCTGCTTCATCTCACATAGGAACAGTTAAGAAGGATTTCCCAATTTCTTTGATCTATCTCTTGAGTCTACCATTAGCATTTGACCCAATGGGCAGAGACTATCAAGAGTAAAAATGTATAATGCTGACAAAGATCCTGATTATTACCACTTTGGTAATATAAATTATGTAAGTTAAAATCTAGGCTTTTTCTCGTGCCACATTCAATCTTCCAAGTTAGTCTTTAAAGAGATTAAATATGTCTGTGTTCAAGAGCACACTAAAAATCTATATTTATACAATATGATTTAGTAATGGAGCTGATTGAAAAGGAAAACAACAAGAAATATCCTACTTTCTGAAAATAGCATGATTTTGTTTTCTCTTTTTAAGAGGCCTCTCAAAGAAATATTGGTCTTTGTTAACAACAGTTACAACAGCTCAGCATTAACACTAAATGTACTTAATTTGCAAAATCATTCAACTTTTAAAAGAAAAATTTTAACTAGCCCAAATAAATAAATGAACTCAAAGTTACATAGGCATATAGTTTATAACTAAGGGTACATGACGAGGCAATGCTACTTAAAATCAGACATTGGCCAAGAGACCTTAATTGTTTTATATAGACAATGTGATATGTTAGTAATCTCCAACTTAAAACTTTTCATCCTGCGATCATTTGTTTTCCTTCCTATAAGGCACAGAATCCCGAGAGGGAATTGACAATATTCTCATATCTTGTAAAAGACATTGAGAAACATTGTCAACCATACATTTTAACATCTCTAAGCAAAAGACTTTAGAAACAATTCCATCAAATCCTAAGAAAATTCATTTCTTTGGACAAATTCCAGGAGAAAAAAAAATATGCCTTGTAGACAGTTTAGAAAGCTTTTGATAAAAAACAGACAACTAATATTACTTAATTACTTACCTTTTGCCTTCTAGAAACAAATTCACTGCCCTCAAATCATAGTATTCTCAGTTGTTTGATAGTATCTAAGCCCTGTATTCTTTTTTCATTATTTTTTCTGTAATTATCCAACTTTACATTGTTTTAAATTTTTAAGACCAATTCCAAATAAGTAATGACTAATCCAAAAACTTTTCTAAATCTTCCCACCCTTGTACTTCTTACTATGCCTGTCGTCACTGGGTACCAAAAGAATTCTAGAATCAGAATATTTCTTTGTGATGTATTAGATTTTAATTGGCCGTTGCTATCACATTGCCTATCTCAACATGAGTTCTTCTATTTCTAAACAGAGTACAAGCACAGGCTGAGCTCTTTTGGGAAGAAAATCAAACTTGACCACAGAAAATAGTAAAATACCTCATGAAAAAAATACTCTACTTTTAACAGGTAAGATTTAAAAGAACCAATAAAGTTAACTAAAGGATGAGCATTCTCTATTTTCCACCATTTCTTAAAATATTTATCATATAACATATAACAATATAAAACCACAGTTGTCCATGGATGATTAAAACTGCAGTACTTATAAACACCAAGTATTAAACAACATCAAAAGACTTGATCATTCTCAATGTTCTATTCAAATGCAACATCAAATGAAAAACTATGAAGTGTTACACAGTACCAGATCTAGAAAATTGAAATAAAATTGCAGCCATATCTAACTGATTTAAATTTATTAGTTAGCTTAGTTTAACTGGGCTTGGTGGCAAACGGAATAAATACACACACACTGTGACGTCTTCAAAATGGACACTCTGGCATTAGTCACTCTTCTCTCTTTCTTGCCTCATCACTATAAGGCAGTGGGCTTCAATCAGGGATGATTTTACACCCTAGGAGGCATTTGCCAATGCCTGGAGACATTTTTAGTTGTCACAACTAGAAGTAGTGCTACTGGCATATAATGGGTAGAGGCCAAAAATGACATCAAACACCCTACAATGTACAGGGACAGGCATTGTACAGATAGTTACAGATAGTTACAGACTGTTATAGATAGTTCTATGAAACAAAGAACTATCTCTCCCAAAATGACAACACTGTGGAGATTGAGAAATTCTGCTACAAGGACTAACACCCAAAAGCTCCTACTAATAAACTATGCCTCAGGTTGTAATAAGGAAGTATAAAGAAGAACTCAGGCAGATACATAACTGCTTTGATGGTCAATTTAGCCTTGGAATTTATGCTACATTTTGGCACTCAAAACCCATACTCATTAAGCTTTCATACTAATCACATCCTTTCACTCAAGAATCACTATACCACTCCAGACCAATGCTGGAAAATATTTCTGTATAATTAAAACTATGTATAAATTTTAATAAAAGACTTCAGGGTCGTATGTCTGTTTTGAACAAAAGCTCAAAGAGAAGCTAAATAGAATAAATTTTATCAATCACTATTTCTTCAATGTCTTCTATTTAAATCATTTAACTTTTACTCCCCAAATGAAGCTGATTGTTCACTAGTAATTTTCATGTTTTTGTTCTGACAGTTCTTTGAAACCTCGACTCTGATCATGATCATGAAGTCTCAAAAATGCAAATCAGGTATCCTCACTATATTAAAAGCCATATACTGCCACAATAGAAATATCAGAAAACAAAGTTCTCTGATCAGATGCTTCCTGTGAAATATGAAATAGCTAAACCAACTTTAAGCTATGCCTCAAATTTATATGCTTCCAAGCTATTCAAATATAAAATAAGCACTAACAAATGGGCAACCTTGTCCATCACAAGGCCAATAAATCAAAATCACCACGATAAGTTAACTGCATTTTCAGTGGGTACAGATTTATCATCAAAGGACTGATAATCATGCAACCACTAGAAAAAGTAATGTGTTTTCCATGACCTTGGCCATAATTCACCAACAACACTGACTTATAACTTTTCACTATTTTATCACTCTAGGCACACTTTTAAAATAGATTTCAGGATTTTTAGACTTCTGAATGACTATGTTTATGTTCATCTGATTTTTTTTGATACTAGAATTTAGTATTAAAACTATAAGTATCTGATACCTAAAGAATCGAGCAGTAGATAAGAAAACTGAAGAAAAGTAGGACTTAAATGTCTTAAATTTTCTGAAAATGCAAATCTGGCTGGAAACCTGAGTTAGTCTAAATGCAGAAGCCTCCAAATTTTCACCTTTTCAGCAATTACTATATCTCTTAAAGCCAGCAATTTCTTTTAGCTAAATTCCCTACACCAAACTGGTAATAAAGCAAGCAGGAATGTCATCAAGGTTGAAATAAAGTCAAAGAAGCTTACAAGCATTCCATTCTCTAAGTAGTTTTATTTTGATCTCCACAAGTGGAGAAAGGCCTGTCACAAATGTTTCTAAGAAGATGAAAGTAGTTAAGAGATGCTGATATCTTCCTAGGTTCTTCAGAAAATAATAGAAAGTATAGCAAATCCCTTAAAGAACACAAAATAGAAGAAATAAATTGTTGCAACATTGGACAAGAAGTCAAGATTATATTACCAAACATGTACCTTGGTTCTCAAGTTTAGAATGACAATAAAAATAAGATATTTTTTAAATATTTAAATAGAGATTTTTTTTTTTTCAATCTTAGGACAAAACACCAAGTACCCAGAGGACAAAATGTTGAAAAGTTTGACTACTTGAAAAATTGTGGAAAACTGAAAGCCTGAATTGGAATGCTGATTGGGACCCTTCCAGGATGTGTTACTTTAGGCTGGCTATGTAATCATTGGTTTTTGTTCTTGTTAGTTTGTTTGTTTTAGTTTTGGTTTTTAGCTGTAGAGATTATAAACTCTATCATCCAGAAGGATTATATGGGCTAATGTATGTATAGAGAAAGTTATGCAAAAAGGTTTATGGCATTGATTATGAACTCTCTGATGAAGTAGTTTATGGGGAGTCTGTCAGAAGACAAAGGGCAGAGACAGAGTGGGCAGGAGCCTCACACACCCTGCTGACCATGGGTTCTGAAGACGGTCCAGACAGTGACCACTGTGGAGCTTTTCTGACTGCTGAGTGGGAAATGAGAAAAACTGGAAAACTAAATGGGAACAAAACAGTGGGAAAACCACTGGAAAACTAAAAATTCTAAAAATAATAGCAGCCAATATGCTAGACCGAATAATCCAATTGAGGTGGTTCTATCATTATCTATCAGTATTCTCATTCTACAGGTAAAGGAACAAAAGGTCAAAGAAATTAAAGAGTTTTCTCAGGTTACAGGCAGCAAATGGAAGGCATAGAGCTTGTAGGTGTACTAGAACCAAATACAAGCTCAAGAGTAGGCAATAATGGTCATAAAGTAGGTTCTGCCCATAATGGGTCTCAGACATGGTTAGCAATGAAACACTAGAATCATTCTTACAAAAGACTAAGTTATCAAATCTTCCTTTATTCTATTGCAAACATACATATTACTGGAAGAGAATTAAAAAATCCAGAAACATTTACAGATAGTGGGGAGCTAAGTAGAAGATAAAAGGATAATTTCAAATAAATGGGAAAGAATGAATTATAAAATAAATATAATTTGGACAATAACCCTCCATTTGGGAAAGAAGAAATCCTACCTCATACCATAACATACACAAAAAATAAACTCCAGACTAAATATAACTTTATGTATAAAAATCCAACAGCATATTTTAAAAATCAGAATGTTTTTGTCTTGAAATCACTCTTTCTAGCATGACCAAAAACCCAAAAATCATAGAGGAAAATATTAAAAGCTTTGACATGTAAAATTACAACTTTTGTTCAAAAAAATACATCATACACAAAGTTAAAAGAAGTACAAATCGAGACAAATATTTGCTGTGCAGATGACAAAGGGTTGATATTTTTATTCAACATAGAATACTTATAAATCAATTTTAAAAGAGTAATACCAGTTTTTTAAAAAATCAAAAGATATACAGAGACAATTCATTATAAAATGCAAATGGTCAGTAACTGAAAGAAATGATGTTTGATCTCACTGATGATCAGAAGAGAACAACTGGCCAGATGTGGTGGCTCACGCCTGTAATCCTAGCACTCTGGGAGGCTGAGGCAGGCTGATTGCTTGAGGTCAGGAGTTCGAGACAAGCCTGAGGAAGAGCGAGACCCCATCTCTACTAAAAAAAGTAGAAAGAAATTAGCTGGACAACTCAAAATATATATAGAAACAATTAGCCAGGCATGGTGGCACATGCCTGTATTTCCAGCTACTTGGGAGGCTGAGGTAGTAGGATTGCTTGAGCCCAGGAGTTTGAGGCTGCTATGAACTAGGCTGATGCCATGGCACTCTAGCCTGAGCAACAGAGGGAGATTCTGTCTCAAAAAAAAAAAAAAAGAGAGAGAGAGAGAGAACAATGAAGACAGTAGTCTGGTATTTTTTATCTGTTAAAAATTAAAATAATTGTTAATGCCCAGTGCTATGAGATAGGGTTGGAACTCACTTCATTGCTGATGAAAGTATAAATTGATACAATTTCTCTGAAAGAAAATCTGGCAATCTGGATCAGATTTGAAATATAAATGCATTCAAATATAGCAGTTCTCCTGCTAGGAATGTTCTAAGGAACAAATGTAACAAGCATTCAGTGAATTGCATACAAAAGATATTCATGGAAAAATAATGACATCTTTCAAACAACATATATGTCCCTCAATTTACTGGTGAAATTATGGTGTTTCTATATGATGAAATGCTATCATTTATTTAGAAAAAAAGTGGATCAATATTTAGAAAGTTGTTCATGACATATTGTTGCTTAATTAAAGCAGGCTAGGGAATATTTATTTATAGTATAATATAATTCATGTAATCAAATTCATTTTTTTAAGTCTGGAAAGGTACAACCAAAAATTAAAAGAAAATAGCTTGGAAGAATATAAACCAAGGCTAACATGTTTGTCTATGAACAGTTGGATTGTGAATATTGTTTTCTTCCTTTTGTTTCAATATTCCCTGATTTTTCTTTAATAAACATGTTTTGCCCTTGTAATAATTATTTAAACTTCTTACAATCAAAGACTTTAGATTAAAATATCCATCTTTTTAACGGACCCATAAATATTAATTACAGAAAACCAAATTGTTTTTATAGAAGAATACTGAGACTTTTTTTTTTGCAGTTACACTAAAACACACCAATCTTCCTAGTATTATTTTTTCATATTTAGGATAATTGACTAGTTACTTTTAAAATCTAAAATCAAAGGATACAGCTAATATAAAATATTTAATACTTGGCCCAACCCTTATAATTTTAGCCTTTCCAAAGTAAAATTGTAATGCTTTTCTCAGGTCAATTTGTCTTTAAAATGTAACATGAGTGACTCAATGTTGGTATCCAACAAATGCTGTTGATTGGCTGACTCATTTTCTAGCAATGTAGAAAAATGTCATGGTGTCTATTGACACACTAAAATATGATGACAGATTATTTATAGGATGAATCATAACTACAGAAAAAAATAAACAAAAGAAAATAAAAGATTCTGAAATTGATCACATCAAGAATTTTGTGTAAATATGGAAGACAACAGGTCCTATTCATACATGATAGCCAGATACTTCTGCAATTCATTTTTAAAGTCCCCAATCATGTTCTAGAAGCACCCTACCTCAAAACAAGGTTGTTATTTTAGTCTCCACACTCACTGAGTCTTTCTCTAGAGAAGCTGCCAAACCCAGCACCAGCTGGCCTCTTGGGAACAAGACTAATCTAATAACAAGTATTTCCTTTTCAACTGTTAGATGTTTAAAAGATAAGAGTTGAACTAATCGAAACCTGTTAAATTGGAATTAGGGATTACTTCCAAGAAAGTTCAAATTGTATAGTCAAAATTTAAAACATTTCTATTTTCTTCTCCATAATTACTAATCTTTTTCAAGTACTCCGGTTTTTCTTAAATATTAACTGTTAATATATAAATATGTTTTTCTTAAATATATTTCCCCTCTTTTCCCTGGCTCTTTCCTATGTTGTAAATATGATCCTTGGAAGCATTAGTGAAACCTGAATAAAAATAGATGCAGTAGCATAGTTTGTGTTACACAAGTCCCATTTCCTTACCTACCTTCCCAGACTCCATCCACAATATCAATGAAATTTACAGAGATTCAAGTTACTAGAGAAAAAAAAGTAAAAGAACATGATTGTTAGATTGCACCTGAGAATATAAATTAGCCCAATTGCACTGTAGGACAATATATAACAACACTTTTTAAAATCTTTATGCCTTTTTACCCAGTAATTCTACAGAACTATTTATATTCAACTAAGTTCAGCATGGCATAATTTAAGTCACAACAGATTCATTCACTTGCCAGGTCTTTTCCAATTTTAATCAGGTGGGACCCAAATCCAGAATACAGTCAATAGTCCAGAAACAACAATAGAGCCACAGTAGACATGACCAATCCTTTTGGCCAATGATCTCCAGTGATTTCCAACTAGGGTCCCCAAGGGTTATTTGGGTTAGTGTTTCATTGACCTAGTGGGTGGGCTAGGGGTGCTACATGCCAATAATGTCTGGATTATTTCCATATAACAAAGAATTGCTCTGCCCAAGGTATCAGTAATAGAAACTGATGCTCTGCCCAGATCCGCTCTTCAAGGCCAATATATCCACTCCCAGTTTCTGGGACTATAGAGTACTTATAGATCATAGCTATGTCCTTCATCAGGTATTGCCACAGAGATCTGCCTTGCCCAGGATTATTCCCTCTCCCAGGAGGTACCCATAGGTCATGTCTGGCACAGGAAACAAAAGCCTGACTCCTTTGCTTCAACTAGAGTCAATTCTCTAGGGCCTTCCTATTCCTAAGCTCCCTGTAGGACTGACTGAGAAGCCTCAGTTGCTATCCTAGCAGGTCAGCTTCTCCCTCTGCCCAATCCTGCCTTCTCCAAGAGTATCTCCTGTGAACACATACCAGTATAACTTCTGCACTTAATGCTCCCTCTCAGAGTCTATTTCCATGAAACACAATTTATGACAATCCCCACTGAGATACACTGATTTAGTCTATCCCTTCATACTCCAGATGAGTCAAGGCAGGCAGACAGAAGGCAAAGATTGTGTCTAAAGTACAGAGATAGCTCATTAAGCATTCATTGCACGTACTACACATTAAAAACTGTGAGAAGTTTGAGACACAGGGAGAAAACTGAAAGAAAAAGGAAAATTATAATACTTATTGTGGGAGATGCTAAGTACCCAAAGAGGAGAAAGCAAAAAGAGAATGTCAAAAAGCACTAAGACTTGACTATATGGAAAATGTTAAATAATGAGAGAGCCTGAGAATCAATATTCTTAGTTTATATAATAACAGATATAAAAAAACGACTGCCAAAATATTTCATTTTGGGAAAGACTGTTTACTGGATTCGTTAACTACTTTCAGTCTCCCTAAATTATTCATATTTAGTGTTCATCATGGTGATGGAGCCAAAAAATAATAATTAGAAATTTTCTTCTTGACAGTAAACATCTGGCAAGATATAGAGACTAACCATTGAGGTGAGAGTGAATTAAGTATGAACAGTAAATCAAATCCCTTTCACTACAACTGCTATTCCTCTTTCTTTAGAAAAGGTAGCTAGTTCTAAACACCCACTGTCCACCAAAGAAGTCTTCCTTATCTCCAGTGTTCTCTTTCTAGCTATTTGCCATTCTGGAAGACATGGCCAATTCTTCCATGGCCAATTCTTCCACTCTTATTTTAACAGTTTTTAAATATAGTCTTATGATATTTTTACCCTGCAACTTTTATAGTTACAATATCTTTGGTCTATACCAAATGGAGAAATTTCCCCTATT